GGAAGAAGCAGCTCATCTCCTTCACTACAGCTAACAACAAAGCCGGACGGTCACGCTCCAACTCCAAAGTCTACGACATCTTCGCCCTTTCCAAGGCATCCGAAGACGAATTCGAAGAAAACCAAAAACTCACGCCGCAATTCGAGCAGGAACAAGCCGGCGGGAGCCTCGAGGAGGAGGAAGAAGAAGACAAGGACCTAACACCACGCGGCACTCCCCGACCAGACAACTCCCTCCTCCCCGCCGCCGAGCCCCGAGGTAACCCGCTGCTCAACACCACCTACCGCCCCGGCGTAACCATGTACGCCGACATGCCGCAGCCCACCCAGCCGACGCAGAGCACTTCGCGCGGCGAGAAGCGTCTTCTGCGCATCCACATACACTCCTCGGACGTGCCAGCCGGGCAAATGATCACGCTAGACGTGACCACGGAAACCTGGCTCGCCGACGTGCTCGACACGGCCTGCCGCAAGCGCCAACTAGACAAAGCCAACCACGTGCTCAAGTTGCCACAATCCGGCATCGTCGTCCCCCTCGACCGCACCGTCGGCTCGCTAAACAACGTAACGGAACTCGACCTGCACCGACGACGCTTCGCCACCGACGGTCCCTTGACCATGACCGGCTCCCCCAGCAGCTCTTCTCCTCGCCCACCCTTATTTGCAGATAACTCATCCACCTGGACAACAAAATCCAAAAAGAGCAGGGGCATCATGGGCGTGCACCCGCTCGCCAAGGAGGTCCTCAAGCAGGACGAGCTGGGCATCGGCGCGACGGCAGTCAAGAAATACACGGTCTGGCGGAAGCAGCCGATGCGGCTGCTGTCCGAAAAGATCTTTGTCATTGACGGCGAGTACATCCACATTATGCCTTCGGCGGGCGGGAAGAACCCAGGGGAGATTGTGGATGGGAAGGCAACGACGGTGCATTTCAGTAATGTGGTGGGGTGCAAGGTTTCGAGGAAGCATCCTAATAACTTTAAGGTATGTTTGTCTATCTTACCCCACGTTTGCATGCATCTTTCTTTCCATGTTTGGTTGATGAGAGGTTTCCCGGGTTGTACATCGCTAACGGCTCGTGTTTCTAAACTCAACAGCTTGTGGTGTACAAAGCTACGGAAAGCAAACGGTATGACTTCCAGACTAGCAGTGCGGAATGTGCAGCGGAAATCGTGAACGAGCTCAAGAAAGGGATCTCGCCTTATCGGGAGGTGTAACCTAGCGCTATCCTGGGTACCTCTGGGGGGGGGGGGGGGGGGGGGGGGGGGGGCTCGAGAGGAGGGAGGCCTCTTGAGGGTTTGCGGCTCAACTGTGCCGCTACGGTGCGGGTTAGCTTGCCGGATTGAGGGCCTAGAAGTGTAACCTCTACTGGCCAAGTCAAGGTTGTTGCTATCTTGGCTCTTCTGTCAAACACATTCTGCTAAGCCTTCCTGGGCTGCTGAGACCTACCAGCTGTACATACATGATGCTTCTCCTGCATGCAAAGCCACGAGCGAGTAGCCACGAGTTTTTGATTAAATTTTGTTCTGCATCAATCAAAGCGAAGGCACAAGGCACAAGACAGCTGATCATCAACAAAGGTCCGCATTTTCGTGCTTCTGGTGCAGTGGTGTTATCCGATTGCCATTTTGTGATCGACCGTTTATCGGTTTCTTCGGGGCACACCCTGATGAACCCAGGATCGAAGACTCCTAACAGACAGAACGAACAGCCACTATCTGACGAATCACATGTGCCACTTACGCATTCCCAAAAATTACGGTTCGTCTTCAATCTTATTATACCTCTCAAAAGGAACACAACGCGTTACCGCAGTGCACCTGCTGACTGTCGGATGGTTTGATGGCTTGGAGGAGCACACACAGCCTTTAATTCAGCCACACGCGTGGTATTTCCTGCGCCGTTTGTCGGCGGCAAGTAACAAATGAGACCCCCTCGCTGTGAAAGCTTGAGCTTGCGTGGCCTCTTGCGCCACCGGTTCACCGTGTAATGATTGCTCTCATGCCGTTCGGACATGTGACGTGCTAACAACTTCTGGTGTCACATTGGACAAGGTTTGTTACTGACAGGCTTGTGTACGTCCGATCATGTGGATTTACCTATAATCATTTTGCCTGCCTGCCTTGCCTGACCTGAGTGGCACCTGTGATGGTCCTTGGAAGCTCGTTCGTGAGACTGTCACGGATATATATACAACATTCGAAGTGGAACAGGGACGGCGGAGATATTTGACGAACTGCTCATCAACGCATCCGAGTCCACTGTTTGTATTGGGCGTTCATATTGACACCATTCCATAGGTGTGACGGTCGGTGTCGTGAGTATCGTCGAACGGTCTCTTCGTCATACCTTCACCAGGTGGTTTGCAGATGACTGGCAGCTGACAGCTGCCACCTGGTTCGTTCCCGTCGAACGGAGGACGGACGAGGAGACAGGCATGAACAAAAACGGGTGACACAATTCGACGCCAGAAGCTCGCTCGCTCGCTCGGGTTGAAGCACACGCTTTGCCTCATCCTCTTTCGGCTCGTCTGTTTTCCTGGGCTGCATCAGCCAAGCAAACAACGGTGACACAGTAAGAAGTGATGTCATCGAATGGATAGAATTCGCGAGAATTGCCCATCCCGGTTGGTCCATTAGTGTACACTAGCGATACTAGTGTAGTGTACTTGTCGAGTCTGCGCCTAGCGCAGATTGCGGGAGCGGGAGCCAATTTGAAGAAAGACGTTGAAGATCAAAAGTTGGAGAAGCTCCCTAGTCTAGTTTCTGAGAGCCGTGGACGCTCATCACAAAGCAAAGGAAAACCCTGACACAGGCCGTCATCACATCACCACCCACTTTCTTGGAGCCGCTCTTCCGAGCAGCGTGACGAACGGTACCAAATCCGAAGCGAGGTGAAACCAATCAATCAATCAATCTGAGTGTCCGAGTGGCGAAAAAAAAGACGGCCGAGGTCCCAAAGGCCGTTCATCGTTCAAGGTTCAAACACACACATCAGATGGGCCTGGGCATTGACTAGGTTCAGGAACCAGGAAGTCCAAGGGTCTACCAGCGGGTTCATGCTGAACTGCAAGGGGTTGAAACACATGGTTTCCGAGTTTAATTGCTTTTTTTGGTGATTTCCTGCTTTTTCGTTTTCTGAATCCATCTGAAAGTTGAAAGAATGAGCGGTGGAGTTTACAAGTTTGATAAAAGATCCCATGGGAATCTGAAGAACAGTAGCCGAGTGATGATGAGTGATAGATACCATGAGAGTCCGATGGCGCAGAAGAGAAAAGAAACGACGGCCATGTTGTGCAACCCAACGCTTACGTTACCGTAACTACTCTCTCCAGGCAAGCAATAAAGGGGAACAGATTGAACACGAGCAGGCAATGGGTGGGATTCTGTGCCAATAGTAGACCTCGGAGACAATGAAGAAACCAAAAACAGTCAACAAGAGTGCCTTCACCACCTACGTACAGCCACACCCCAGACCTTCATGCCGTGGAACCCGTGGACCAGATTTCCCGGCTTTTGAGTGGATGGCTGGAGCCGCCTTTCCCCACATTCGATCGGGATGGAGGGCAGACGCGGCTCGACAAGGGAGCGCGGCCAGTGTGGGTGTGAGGGTGGTAACGATGGAGTGTGAATGGTTGGCTGGTCCATTGCAACACTCCACAATTCCTGGTGTTTTGGCGCAACTATGACGACGTTCCAGGAAAGCTCATCGCCCAGCAAGGCCAAGCTCCGAGCTGTCGTTCAAGGGATTCCATCGAGATGGCTGACATTGCGGCCCAAGTCTGGCCCATTCCTTGCCGACCATAAAGGATTCATTTCTAGTGCTCTGGAAGGGGAAAGTATGTCGACGTTGGGGTCGAGCATTGACTGCAATCTGCAAAGGGCAGTGAGGAAGTAAGGGCACGTCAAATGTGGTTCCCGTAAAGAATTACTAGCGGCAGCAGTCTTTGGATGAGATTGAAAGCGACCTGAAAGCGTTTGCCCGGAAATTATTTGACGGGGAAACCCCAGGCTCCACCAGACACAGCCAGCCCCGGCAATATCGACCCAGCAACGGGGCGACGACGACGACGAGGCAGCCATCATCATTTCTGTTATTACTAGTGACTTGCACCTCAGCTTTGGGGAGCCACCTATCAGCCATAGATGGATCACCACGCACCATGCAGGTTTGGATTCGCCTTGTACAACACAGCCGATTCGCTCGTCATCCTTTCAAAGCGGGTGGCAGGACACATCCTGGTGGGTAAAAAAAAGGGAATGTGCAAGTGAGAGGATGGATTCAGTCAGTCATCCAGGCAGCCAGGGCCGTGAACGCCATCAACAATGGCATTCGACCGATATAAAAGAACTGTGGCTACTATCCGAGTAACCACAAGGCCGAAGTAGTCTGACGTTAAGCAGATTTGTACCTCCTCCTCATGAGATCGTCGGCAGGAATACACTCAGTTGTAGGTAATCCGGATCCCAGCCACACCAGGTCTTTGTCAACATGTTTCGCCGCGTGGTTGGGTGCAAGTGCACACAGTGCGTACCTGCAGTGAGAGTGGGTGGGAAGTGTCGGTACGTACCTGTACCTATGGACGGCGGATTCACTTGTTCCCTCCAGTCGTTGCCCGCTTGGAACAAAAAGAGAAGGAGCTGAGAGAGGTGGGTGGTGGGGGAGGTGTGACGGGCTGGCTCCCAGGATTCAGGTCCTTGTTCACAGGTCAGTCAGGTCGGGTTTGTTTGCCTTGCTCTGCCCTGCCCTGCCCTGCCTGCTTCTACATCTGCCACTGCTCTGCTGAGCCTGCCTCGCACTCGCCCTTGCCCCTCATCCATGCTTGACCTGCGCCTCTCCGATATAAGTATTTGTCCCTTCTTCTCTTTCCGCTTCTCTCCTACGATCCAACAACTCAAGATACCCATTTCACATTTTCTTGCGCCGCAATCCCCAAGAGCATCACTGGCCTAATACCATCAAACAACAGAAATCTCAAAGACTAAACAAACAACCATCAAAATGAAGTTCTCCGCTGTCCTCGTTGCCCTCGCCCCTCTGGCTCTTGTACGTTCCTCTCGATCTACATACCTGTGATGCCATCCACAGCTGCTAACCACCGAAAAAAAACAGGCCCAGAACTCCATTCCCCAATCGGCTTCCTCTGCTGTCGCCTCCCTGTCTAGCAGCATCACTTCTGCTCTCGCTTCGCAGAGCTCTGCCGCTGCCTCCGTTTCCTCCTCGGTCAGCTCCAAGGTCAACAGCATCTCGACTAGCGCCGACTCTGCTGTTGCTTCCGTAACCAGCGAGGCTGGCGACTCTATTGCGTCTCTGAACTCTCAGCTCGCCACCGCCACTGGTTCTGACAGGGCTTCCATCACGTCTGCCCTTGCCTCGCTCGCCAGCGATGCCAGCTCTGCTGTCAACTCCATTACCAGCGAGGCCGCCTCTGCTGCTAGCTCTGTTACCAGCAACCCTGCCGCCCCCATGAAGACTGGTGCCGTCGCCATGGGTGCGCTCTTCGGTGGTGCTGCCGTCCTTGCCCAGCTCTAAGTTCACTCCTGAGTCAGGAATGAGTCTGGAGTTGGTTTAAACCATCATCCACGGAATGTTCTTACGAATACCAAAGTCTACCATTGATGCACGATTATGTTTCGACATTCACGAGTTCCGAGGTTACTTGTACAACAAGTACACACGACAAATTTGAAAAGTGCCCTCTGCAAGGGACTCTCTTACACATGCTCTTTGTTTCAAAAGATTCCCTGCCCAGAATGGGTGTTTCGACGCTTTGCTACGGTTTGATGTCGAGATGACGATAATAGGATTATGGATGGGATTTTTCATTTGTTGGCTTGGAGAAAGTAAAGGAGTTAATCTGACCGGGCTTAATACAATCTTCACACCAACCTCACAGTTTCCCATGGCCTTGTGTGATTTTCTCTTTTTCCTTCACACGAACAGACGACTACACAATTGACCTAAAAACACGGCCAACGGTGAGTGCTCATGATGCTACCATCGATTGCCCAAGCCATTTGTATCCAAAGGTCGGATGAAGAGCTGGCTGGGTCGCTTACCGATAGAACCAACAGTGTCATAAACACCTGGCGAAGCTAAAGCCAAACACAGCCCTTGCTTGCATGATAGCACCAGATTAACATCATGCAAGAGTCAAAAGATCCGCTGAGACATTAACCATCGAGATGTACCTTTTCAGCTATCTTTGGTGAGGTAGACTTGGTCGTGTTACTGCGTCTGTTGCATGTGCTACCTCTACCCAGCGGTTGGTGGACGGGACCTGTCCGATGCAGCCCATCGGCAATGTACATAGGATGCCCTTCGCATCCTCTCGCAACTGCACACTAACTGCATTTGTTACCTTCGGACGCGGCGCTAACATGAAGCCACGCCGACAACAGCCCTGAGTATCTATGTTGTTGCTTGGATTGATTTTACATGAGCACTCGTGACCGTTGTTTCATCCTTCTTCTTCCTTTTTCGGTTGGCTCGTGAAGTTCGGATTCTCTGAGCATGCATAGCATCAGGTCGGGTGTTGGCGGGCTCGCGGTTGTAATGTTGTTTGGCGTGCCGAAACCCAGACTCGCCTGACCACCAAACCTGCGAATGTGTGGTCCTTGGATTGGTGTCGATAGGAGGGAAAGGATGAACAGATTCCCCCAGTGCCAAACTCGGAACAGAATATTTTAAAAGAACACCCTCATGTAGTACAAGATGCTTTCGGGAGCTGATTCCTCTCCTTTTTGATGCAGTTCTGCATACATTCTAGTGACAAATGAGCGAGTGTCCAGAGGGTGTTCCAACGGGCGGACGTCTAAAACCCGACCTTTTCTTTTTTTCATGCAGAAAGCACATGCCTATCTGTCTGCAGACTTTCACACCCGACAAAAGTGTCAAGACCAGCGCATATACATCTGCATAACGGAAGCGTGCGAAGTGCGTACACACATTTCCTTAATGCTGGAAGGCAGGCTGTGTAATAAGGGGCTGTGGCTGCGGTTGCGAGAGCTGGTCTCATGGTTTGAGATTCAGTATCGTGGACATGATCACAATGAGGTTGAGGAGTGTCTGAGCTCTGAGTCCGTCGTGAAGCTATTGGGCAGCAAGAATACTGTACAACTACAAGAAAGACAGCTTGGTAAGAATTGAAACTTACTCGAAAGTACAAAGGTGGGAGGTTAAGGAAAATTATACCATCAAGCCATGTTCGTGGGTTCCCTGTGTCCAGAGGAAGAGACAAAGTAGAACTGAACAAAAACAAATACTCTCCAAGAGAGAAGAATGTTAAAAGACAGAATCGTGAGTTGCGAATCTCTGGACTTGCGAGATGACACCATCGAATTCTTGATGCAATTCTACGAGTCAAGGGCCACTTGACCTTCGTCACCTGAGATGATACAGATGATACCGGCGTTGTATTTTATTTTATTTTTTATTTTTTGTTTTTTTCGTCTCGCTTTGCTGGTCATTGTTGACATTGCAGAACTGCTTGCTTGCTTGCTTGCTTGCTTCACAGGAGTTGGTTGTCGTGGGTGTTGGGAGAGAACCTTAGTTCGGAATTCACTCTCCCTTCCAGAGATGACGACCTGCAAAAACAAGTCTGAGGTTTTCCAAGCCTCCCGTCAATCCATTCCAGTACCCACTATGCTTCCGTCATCACTCCCCGCGCGGCTGTGTCTTTGTCGCTGAGGATGTCAAAGATGTCGAGAAAAGTGCCGTTGTCGGGAACTAAGCGGGTTGTCTACCTATGTTTGACTTGTGACTTTTGCCTGTCATTGGAACGTGCGCGCTTCGTGGAATTGTTTAACCGTTTATCCCATCTGGATGGTTGGGGAGATGGGGTGAACGAGGGGGACAAGTAAAGTGTAAAGAGAAGGAACGGACTAGGTGGTTGTCGAATGGTTGACGTGATGGTCTTTTGTCGGTCGAATCAAATTTGGTGATAGTATGTTTTTTTTTTTTTTTTTTTTTTTTTTTTTCTCTTGAAGAAAGGCTACCGTATGAGGAAGCTATGGACGTTGAGAGTGAGGGGAGTTGATTGGGGATGCCGTAATGGTTACAAACCGAAGGGATTCTGAAGCATTGAAACATCATCACTTACAGGTTATTCCATAATTGGGTATACCTTTGTCATATCACTAGAAACCAACCTAGTTCGATGAACACTTGCAGCTCACAATCAACATGATCAAAACAAGCCAGCTCCATGGTCATTTAGATTTAGAAACAAAAAGTTGATATTCATAAGTTGGTATCAAAGAACGAGAGTAAGAAGCCAAAGAGTCATAAGCATCCATCCCCAGTGAACCACATCTCTCCCCTCTTCGCTATCCCTTGGCATAATCGAACCACTCAAAAATAAAACTCCAAACCCACATGGTCCAAGAAAATTCACCAAGCCTCAACCCCCGCCCTCCTCGCCAACCCACCCACACCTCTCGCGCCCCCAACATCCATTAAGAATCCCCACTCTCCCCTTGTAATCGGGCTAATATCATCATAGCCATTCGGCGTCATCGGACCCAGTCGGTTACCGAGCCGATTATACCGCCCACCACCCGGCGACACTTCCCATCTCTCGTTGTCAGAGTCGGACTCGTCGACATCTGAGCTCGCAAGGTGACTGGAGCTGGAGCTACCGCCATTGTGCAAGATCTCATCTAGTGTGTTACCTGATGAGCGAGGAAGCCAGATGTTGATTCTTGTTGCTGTCAGGGCGGTACGGGGAGAATCGAGTGGGCGGGCGGTGTGTTCTTCTTCTTCTTCTTCTTCTTCTTCTGATGGGGACGAGGAAGAGGATGAGGAGGGGGATTGATTGGTGGAATTGGAATTGATGACTGTTGATGGAGAGTCGAAGTCGGATAGGGGAGATTGTTGGCCTTGGACAACGGTGGAAGGGGATGAGGTTTGCGATAGCGATTTGGGCGATCTCTCAAGAGGAGAAAGATTGTTGTAGATGAAACCGCCGCGCTTGGGCTTAGTGGGAGGGATGACCACTTCGAGTTCCATCTTGGCGAGCGTGCGTTGGACACGAATGGGAGTGGTCAGTTCGAGGTCAGACTGGCGGGCTGGGCTGGGGGGAGCAAGGTGTCGCGGTGACTTCTTCTTGGATGGTTTTGGCGGCTTGGGGTCAAATGTGGTTTGGAGCTTGAGGCCCGCGAGCATATTTGGTCTGGCTGATCGGCCGGGAGGTGCTGGAGAGAGTCGGGGAGTGTTGCGGTGCAGTTCTTGCATCTCGGTAACAACGCGCTCGACTTCGCGGGTGGGGGTTCTGTCGTCGATGTCATCGCCAACGTTGATGTCGACGGTTGAGATGGGAACAGCCGCTCGTGGTGGCTGGACTTGGCGATGCTGTTGAGCTCCGTTGACGTTGACCATCCGCACTTCTCTTCCCACACCGATTTGTCCTACACCAATCTGGACATTGCGGTACCAAGCCTCGATGTCGTCCATCTCCAACTTGCTCTCCAGATCAATCTCGTCCATCATGTCGATTTCGTCTAGATCAATGTCCTCCTCTGCTACCATAACCGCCTTTTCGTCCCCACCATAATAGTAAGGACCAACCCACCTCTCAGAAACCGGGGCCGCCGGTAACGGTTTCTCCTTCTTTGTTACTTGCGGCGGCATCTCAATATCCCCCATCAATTCAAACACCCCTTCCACCACTCCCTCCACCCGTTCAACTGTATCATCCACCCACCCCATCTCTCTCACGTCCCGCCCACCTGTATGATCCCTTCTTCCATACGCTCTTCCATACATCCTCCCCACCTCCTCCAGGCTACGATCACTAACCGGGTCCATGAACCTTGCATACGCGCCTACAAGACAACTCTTCTTGAGTTTCTGGCATCCGTTCCCCAGCACCAACCTTCGCAACTCATCCACGGCATCTTCCAGCCTGCGATGCGCAATTGACCTTGACACTGATGGCTTGTGGTTCACCGTCCGGGTGTAGCACTGCAGCGCCGAACGAAAGGTGTACAAGTGGTCAAGTGAAAGGAGGCGGAGACCCGCTGCTCCAGAGGAAGAGGAGGAAGGGCCGAAGAGGACTTCGTTTTGGGCGAGCGAGCGGTGGAGAAGCTCGGGCGGCAGGCCAAGTGTCGAGGCAGGGATGGGTGGTGGGAGGGAGGAGGGGGAGATGTTGAATTTCTTGGCGGCTTTTTCGAGAGTGGAGGAGAGGAGCTTGTCTTCTTTTTCCCTGAGCGGGATAGCATGGACGAGGCGAATGCCAAATTCTGAGGATGTGGGTGAGGGGATTTGCAGGAGGGCGGGGCCGAAGCCGCGGGTGGCGTGGAGACCGGCGCTGGGGAGGCAGGTGGTGTTGATGTTGTTGTCACCGGCAGCCATGGAGGAGGTGATGGATGCAGGCGTTAAGGGCACCGAGGGCGCTTGGGCGGCGCCCGGGCTGAGTGGCCATCGTGCTTGTCCTACCCGGCCGCGGTGATTAGTGAAGACGGAATCGACTGTTGATGCTGTCGAGGCTGAAGTGAGGGAGGCTTCTGAAAATGTGGGCGAGGTGGCTCCGTAGCGGTAGTCCGTGTTGATGTTGATTACCCTCTCCTTGATCGGACCGGTGTCCCCACGAACAAATTGCTTGAATGCGTGAGCAAAGGTGGGCTTGGCTGGGGTACTGGCCACCGAGTTGGAAGTCGAGGAGGAAGGGGTGCTGCCGCATGAGAAGGACTGAGCGGACGGGGATCCGAGTGGAGAGGTCGGAAGCTGATAGTCCTTGCGGATGACCAGTAGAGTGAATTTTGCTCCTTTCCTCTGGAGTCTTTTGGAAGCATACTCAAGAGCCGAGGTGAGGTTGCCAGGAAGGTGATCACCGCCCTCGGCGAGAGAGGGACCAGCGCCTAGAGGAGGTGAGATGCGGGTCTTGAGTGGGAGTAAAGAAGACATCTTTGTGATCTTGTTTTCGGTTTCAACAGGGTATAATGAAACTTGGCGGAGAATGACTGAATGAGGACGGACGACTGGTAACGAGTGGTGTCAAGGTCCCGCCTGTCGTTGGGGATAGTAGTGTCACCGTCGCCCGTAAGCTCGAAGGTTCAAAAATAATAATAAAAAGACCGAAAAGTCAACACGAGAGCAGGGTGGTGACAAGGAAATAGAGAGTGATGATTGGCTCAACCAGATGTTCCCTCACATTCATAAGATGTTGTTTCCCTATCACCAATCCCGTTGCTTCATGATATTGGAATGGAACTGAAGAGGGATAAAAGAGAACTGGAGACTTGATGAAACAAGAGGGACCCATCAAGTTTTAACATCTGAACAATTCCCAGTCTAGCCCAAGATGAAACCACCCAAGGGACCCGAAGGATTGGGTTGAGGGGGTAAAATTCTGAAACGAGCTTGAAGAAAGTGGGATAAAAAAAGAGCTTGGGACTGGTTGTTGGGCGGGTATGCAGCGGTGTCTTCTGCGGTGATGAGTTAGAAGAAGGATGCTTGAACACATGCAGACAGGGGGAGGGGTGAATGGGATTAATTACCCTCCTTTGGGCGTCAACGAGCAACCTCGTTTCACCTTTCTCACATCCAGAAGAAAGTGACCGAAGTCAATAATTTGCCCAGAACACGTCCACGAAATTTCCTGGAGGCCTGTCACGCCTGAATATTGTCCGTGGATGGCCCATTTTCCCACCGCTACGGTGACATTTGCACCCGCAGAAATGCAAGCGAGCAGAAAAAGACAAGCCAATGGGCGTGGTGGGCGTCGATGGCGTTCTGCGGTGGTGGTGGTTGTGGTGGTTGTTGTGATGTTGGCCTTCGAGCGGAATGCACCCAAGTGGATCACTTGGCTTGTAAACATTCAGCACAGTACAATAACCGTACCTAAGCTGTGCTTGTGAGGGCCCCTTCTCGCCGTGCTGTGCTCCTCGCTGTTTTCCTTCCCCTTTGCTTCAGAACTCCTAGAATTAATGTTCGATTGACTTCTTTTCTTTATCACTCGGTGATATCGAGTCTCACATACCCCATTAGCTTTCTTCACAGGGAAACTGTCCCCCACCAAGATCCTCATCCACTCAGCGGATGCTTAAGACGGGAGGAAGCAACCGAACACTCTCTCCTCAACAACCTAATCCCACCGTACCTGCACAGCCTCGTCACTGTGACAACTGCAACGGCGCAACCGCCAGATATCCCACCGAATCCACCAAGGTTGGTTCGACCACTAGTATTCATTAGTCTGGTCAGGGGGGAATCGGCGGCTAAATCCTTGGCGATGACACAACAATCTACACTAATGGTACTCTTGCCCTACTGGACGAGGTCCATCCCCAATTGTCCTAAACCCCAGAAGGACAAAATGAAATGGCTAGGTACGTACGGTTTCAATATTCAGTATGGCATGTTGGTTCTTGAGAAATTGCATATTCATGGCAAGATCACGATTTGATTATGGGACGAAACAAATTAACTGGACACAGAAACGCGTGAGGATTTGACCTGAGGTCTCAAGCTTACTTGCACAATCACCGTCCAAGCTGGACTCAGGTCTATTGCAGTATACCTATATGTGGAACTGGTGGTCCGGCCTTTTTTTCTTTATTTCTTTTTTTTTTTTTTTCTCCCACTCAGTGTGTGCTTGAATGACAATCGTGGCGCCAGTTGCCTGAACTGGTTGACATCGACCTGCTTAGCTTTAATGATTCTGATGTTCTCGACGCTCTTGTTACCCCGCGAGTCCGCGTCAATTGGAAGCGCGGAAGAAGTGATCATCGGAAGATCATCCAAGGACCGATGTAGCAGGCACTTGTGTCACTAATTGCAAAGACGAAGAAGAAGAAGAGGGTCTCAAACGTAGGGCTGACAGGGGTCCATACTTTTGCCTAGCATTCATAGTTTATGGTGTTTTGGCCGCTTTCTTCCTCTCTCCCAAAGCGGTGATTTACTCTATATTCATTCCAAAGTTACGCATGCCCGTCCCTGTAGGCGTGCACAGCATGGCTTTCTTTTCCCCCGTATCATGCAGTTAACCATTTCCATCTACATCTACTTGCCCGCCTATCCACCTGTCTGCCTGCCTGTCTGCCTGGCTGGCCTCCATCCTATCGACCAGGCCTGTCACTTTCACAATGCTTTCATAGCCGCGATCCATGATGAGAATCATGCCAGTGAACTCGGCGATTCGACAACAATCAGCAAATAAGGTGACCATGAAAGTCTAAGTGTGTGCGTAGAGCTATGTTAACCCCTAGAGTCTGCAATACTCTAAAAGGCTAAGATTTGATACCGAGCCAAAGAAATTAGAATGACAATTTGCCCTAACCGTTTATGCCCAAGACGCCATCGCTTTCCCTACCAGACCAAATATCCGCGTTGATTGTCCGTAAGTACCATCCCATGCAGAGAAAAGAAATCAAGGGCGACGTAAAACATGCTGATTCTCCCACCTTTTCGCTTTTTGACCTTTCCATTGTTTCTCTATACCTTTCACACAATGAACGCCTCTGCCTTGTCATCTTGAAAATCCCATAGGTCTCCATGAAAGCTCATCTATCCCTCCATGTCTCACAAGCCAAACACATCAACGATGCCGCTGTTGTCGGCTCCGACGCCTACGACGCTACTGCAGGTCGCCTTCGTTGACCTCCTCCGTTGACATCTTGATATCTCCCAGTTCATCAAACTGTTCAGAGTTAACTGAGGAGTTCTCCCACTCTGTATTGATCAAAAACATAATGTTAGGCGAGAGTGTCGCTCGATGCGATACTGGAGGAGTCGTCAAGCAACATACCGGACCCATCTTCTTCCACCTCGTCTACCTTCAACGCGTGCAATCGTTGGCCGATATCTGCGCTATTGTGTCAGTAATATGCTGCTATCCGTCTTTGGAAAAAACGCAACTTACTATGAACAAGCCTTCTGAACACTCTGGCTTCTGCATCCTCTTCAGGGCCCGGAGGAGGGAAGTACTTGCCGCACAGATCAATCACTCGTTCCAAGCTCATAACAAGTTGCGCGGACACTTCAACGCCCGTGTCTACGAAATTGTCCCTTAGGTACTGCAAGCAACGAATTCCTAATCGCTTCGCGCTCGTCTTCATGCACTCCGCTTTCCTTTTGTCCTGCTCGCTATCACCAAATGAGGGCGATGGTCCGTACTGGAAAAGCTTCTCGTAAATGAAACGCTCAGTGTCTGAACTCGTTCTCGTGTCATAGTAGCCCAACAAACCAGGAGCCCAATCGGGCAGGATGCTGATCACTTGAAGAGCAACAGTTTCATCATCCTGGCTCTCTCGTTTGGAATCGAACAGTGCCCGGTGAAATTCCAAGAACGCTCCGCCATCTGCAGTCTCCACGACACGGCATTGGTTGCAAATATGCTCTATGAGCTTTTCCACCAATAGCCTAGTAGGCGCATGACGGCAAAATATCAGTGACGCATGCAGGAATGGATATATGAGCTGACTTGTATTCTGGCTGCTAATGTTGGCGACAAGAGCGTGGAAAATACCCTCTTCGAGCCATCGGCTTTGCTTGACCAAGTTGATGATTATCCGGTGAGTCGCCTCGACGTTCTGGTAGATGCTGATGAGTTTTTCGGCAAAAATGTTGGCTTGAGTCTTATCCCACATCGTTTCCAGGAGGTTGGCTTCCACTTGCGTGTACAGGAAAGGCTGTTCGAGCCATGGATCATTCTGGAACCTTTGATCAGGACGGCCCACGGTAATCCTGACTTGGTTTTCGTCTTCAACTTGCATAGACGCCAGCAAGATATCCAGCAAACCAATGAGCGATCCGTAGTCGGGCAATCGATTTTTAGCCCGGCGCGAAAGATGCAACGCAAGCTTTTGGTACTGTTGACCGATGCGCAAATTAGTATCAGCCATAATGAGCCTCAGAAGAATCTCCAGGAATGGCCTTTTCAAGTACTTCGCCATCTCATGGCGTCCCAACTTGACGAACGCCATCATCAAACCAAACACTTCAGGCCACGACCTCGTGCTCGTGTGGATGTATGCGAAAAGGGTCTCAAAAAGAACCATGACGTGTTCCATGGCCGAATCCGGGGGGTCGACGTCATTCGCATCGGGAGATGGCAAACCGTACCGCGAAGGTAGTTGCTCCTTAATAACATTGATCGCCGTAATCAGAATCTCGAGTGTCTTCTGGCGGACATCGGCATCCGGATTTCTCTGCAAAAGCATCCGTAGTGGCTCATACGGCCCCGAAGAACACCGAAAGATCGTTATGCTGGAGTGCGGACAATCTCGCGAAAGTTGCAGAATCTCCTCTGTAAGCAAACGGAAGTCTTCCAACTCTTTTAGTTTCGAAGCGACCTGGTCTAGGTGGCCGAGCCCCATCGTCATGGCTTCGCTCTCGATCGCATGATCTGGAGTGCATCGATGTCCGTTAAGTTGCTTCATCATCTCCAGGGCGCGGCACACATGCCGTGTGTGGTACGGGTCAAACAAGCAGTGTCTTCTCAGCAACGTCATGTTGTCCTCCCTGATCCAGGGTTTCAGGTAAGGCAACATGTCTACCTGGAGCGGGCTGGCTTGCCCAAGTTCGCCAAGCTTTTGTTGCTTCTTTGCAAGAGATGACGACCGTTCATAAAACAGCATGTAGGCGCTATAGGACTTCTCAAAGTGCATGCCGTTGTGGTCGGAGTTTGACCTGTAATCCGTGCCGCCGAAACAGGCGTGTTCCAGTTGACTAGGATCAAAGCTTGAAACAGAGTCATCATTGTATTCAACCCACACCGGATGTTCGCTTCTTGATGGCCGTTCACGGATGTAGGAATAGTAGTGGCCTGACTCGGCCGTTCCAGAGTGTACCAGGACCCCGACAAGCTCAAAGATATCCTCTTGCTGGTCCTCGTCCGGATTCTTCAAGTGCTCCATAGTATAGGGGCGCATATCAATTGTGTCAGGAAAGGAGAAGAAGTCGTTGATCTTGCTCCTCTGCAGCGTACGCAGATTGAAATCGAAACGTTTCAGATGGAAGATAAGGTTGTCGGGGATATCCTTCAGGCAAGCCCTCTTGACAGCATCAACGTGGCGGTTGCATTCCGAACACTTGTACTTGTTCTCGCCCTCCATAATTTCCCCATCCACGTATGCTTGCAAGCTTTCCTGCAAAGTCGTCTTCCCTTTGATGTCACACTGTATGGCAGAGAAAGGTTCCAGCCGTTCAGATACATGGCTGCATTCCTTGGAGGCAACCTGTTGGACTAGCTGTCCGCCGTAAAAGGAGCGGAACCGGCGTCTCTCTGCAGCGTTGGGAAACTGCCCTTCCCATCGGTCAAAAAGAAGGTTGTAAAACTCGTCGACATCCATCTGGTTCGTGACGTCGATCACCGTATCCTCGTACGTTCTGATACTCCCAAGGCAGTCATCTGGGTTGGCGAAGCGACGGATGCTGTTCTGCATAAACGCAAACAGCCTCTGCATCTCAAGGAGTAGCTTCTGAGACCCCGCAACCATGTTCCGTATCGGGCTTTGCAAAATGTACTCACGGAAGTCCGTGTTCATGTAGAGCTGGGTCAACAAAGAGTTGAAGTAACATGTGTTGGATAGATTTTTCAGTCCCACGTAGCCGGCTGACGATCTGAGAACCTTCTCTCGCTCATACGGTAGAGGAACTTCGTACAAGTACGGATGGTATTCTGGGTCAGGACGCGGTGGAGTCAAGGCCTTCAAGTCCTCGATGAGCCATGAAAACTGTGTTGGGTCTTCGCCGACGAGGACCAGAACGATACTCCAAAGCTTGTCCCTTGTGGAATCGGTAATGATGGGCCTGGAACTCTCTGCCTCTTTCGTTCCCATAGGCGGATAGAGATGCTGCCAGTAGAGTTTGCGGGCGACACCGGCCAATGTGTCTCCAAGATACTGATGTCCACTGACAATCGCCCAGATCAGATCGATCAAGCCGCTAACGGCAACGTCCACTTTGGAGGGTTGTGTAGGGTCCTCGAAGGTCTGATACTCGAGGAGCAATCCGATCCATTCCTGGGAGAGTTTTTGAACGTCAACTAAAGATGACTTGGATTTCACCAGAGTCATCAACATGCTTTGGCACAATTCGAAAAACTCTGATGGGTTACCGGGGCTACTCATGGCCGACCGCACAAAGCCCGAGATGACAGGCCATAGATATGCGCGGAAGGGATTGTCATCATCAGACAACGTCTCAGAGTCAGCAATGCATGACTCTGGATCCTGGGAAACCCTTCCTAGTTCTGTGGGGGTATCAATATTGAATTTGCCTAGCAACAATTGATTTGTACTCTGCCTAACGCTTGCGCGTTGGTCATGAAGTAACAGATTCTCGAGCAGCTTCGGGATGCTGTCATGTTCGAAACACGCTTTCATGAATTCTGGACTCATTGAGCAGGCTTCCAAGATGCTGTGGATGCAGACCGGTATGCGATGAACGGTGCGTTCAGCTGCGCTGTTGTGGCAAGCGACTAGAATGCTGACCAAGCGATCCAGTAAGGTCCCGTCGACTAGCTCGGTAGCCGAGTGCGGAAGGAGAGGATCTACAAGTGTTAAGTATTAACGTACGTGTCACAATGTGTATCAAAGGGTTGAGACGCTTACCTTGAAGTATCAGGACAAAGCATTCTACCAAGGGGAAGATCCAGTCAAGCTGCATTTCATGACTAGGCCAGTTTCGGGTTAAATCCTGGTCTGATATCGCACCAACCACGATGCGTAAACCTCTGAGCAGGGCTTTGCTGTGTGAGTTGGCCGAGTCTCCGTTACCCGTGATACTCTCATAGCGGTGATTGGGAACGCCATCTTTTCGAGGTATGAGATATTCGCGTAGTGCATATACAGAATACTTCGACTTGAACGGCTGATCGGTGGGGAAGATATCCTGGTGGGTTGTTGAAGGGTCATCAATGAGCTTCAGGATGTTCTCATCGGCCGGCAGTTGGCTAAGGAGATCGTAAATCTGCATCGTGTCAGTTAAAGAGCCACTGTACAGATTATTATGGGGGTAGCATGCCTCTTCAGAAATCTTCTCCATTGTCAAGCACTCATACAACTCAGCAAAATGACGTAAAATAACAACCTCAACAGGTGAGGCTCCGGAGCGTATATTCTCGCCTGGTGATGTCGCATAGTCGTCTGCTTCGCGTTTCACGAGGATCAAGCCGTCGTGAATTCGCAGTTCTTCCAGTGACTTGCACATCAACTCTTCTCGAGGTAGGAGTACACTACCTCGGTAATACATCCGGTAGTTTTCAAACCCCGTGGCCTCACGCAGGCTTCCAAACAGTGATCTCGCCGTGTTGAGCTTGCCAATACTAAGCGGAAGTATGTCGGTCTGGGATTCGCCATCAAATGACTGGTACTTGAGCTCAGCTGAGTCTCCCTCAATCTGCTTCGGTGGATCCAAGCTAAGTGCGCGGAGATCAGGTGCGGAAAATTTGGGATTGTCCTTATACTCCAAATGGAAGGCTCTGAGGACGGCAAGCGGGCGAATGCAAAGGCGTTCTTGTTCGCATACCTGCTGTTCTAGGTGCATCGTGTCGTTCATTTTGGACTCCCTGCTGGGGACATCAAGGCAAAGACTCCTCAATTTCTTGGCCGCCGAGATCAACTGATCAAGACAACGTTCGGCCAACGCCAAGTGTAGTTGGCGAGCGATGGGGAGGGGAACTGGGCCCTTGGACGAATTTCCCATATAAACCTCGCCTACAAGGAGGTCAATGGCTGGCTTTTCGATGCTACCCTCCGGTACCGAAAGGATAATGCGCCAAAGTTGCTCTATCCCAAAACGACCGATGCTCTCTGTGTCTTCAACGAGGAGACGCGGAGAATGAATGACCGGCAGGATGCCAGTGCGGATGAAGTCAATTGTGCCGAAGGTAAAGAATTTCGGATCAAGCGATGGCAGAAAGTCGGTGAAGCATGTTGACGCAAACTTGGCTTTGGAATTTTCCTGCAGCAATTTCCATCCCGCGGTCCTGTCTTCCTCGCATGCCGCCTCTGGACCAACAAGCAAATTCCAAAGTTTCTGGCTAATGTCCGGGGGAATTTCGGGAGACCCATCGCTCAGGACCCAGGACAGAAGATCTCTTCGAGGTGCATTAGCATAGCCACTAATGACCGGAGGAAACCCAGCAGCCCGCGCGGTTGGAATCGAGCCTTCAAACTCCTCAACGAGAATTCTGACCAGGTCATGTTGCTTAGCTAGCAGCTTGAGTTCTCTACCCGCGGACGAACGCGTCATTCTGGACAAAATCCATAAGCTTCCCAATGCAAATGGGGTTCTCTCAGAAATATTTCGCAAGCACTCTGTGTAAGTTTGCATACGAATCTCCTCAGTTGGACCCTCCCTCAATAACTCCGAGAACTTCTGGATCGCGAAGTGGTGGATTTCAGGGTAAGCAATCTGAGACTGTGACCCAAAGACTGAAGAGTCTCGTACGAGGCGAACGCATAATGAATATGGGATCGGATAGTTGCCTATTCTCTCCAGCTTGTCAGCCAGCTGCTGCAGCACTTGAGCGCAAAAGTCTCTCATGGTCGAGGTGAAAGAGTCCAGAGGCATCGCCTCCAACCTTGTACAGAAGTACAAGAGATCTTTTGGATTGAAAAGCTGTACAATCTTGTTGATCATGTTGACGAGGGCGCTGGATATTCGCGGGTCCTGGGTTGACTGGATAGTCTGGAACATGAGATTGGTGTGATCAGCGGTATAGGTCCGCGTGACAGCCAGGAAGCCAACGATGTTACTGGACTCTAGCGTAATCTCTGGATGGCATTTGGGTCCCAAGATGTAGGATACGAGGCCAGATTCCATGAGATATTGGGCAATGTGCTGCAGAAAGGCAAGACTGGAGTCGTCTGGGTGATTGTTGTACTTCTTGTAGAAGGTAATCAAGTCGGAGCACATTCCCATCGCGGATCGTATGCGAAGCTGCATCTGGCCGGACATGATCAGAGTGCAAAACATTCGAAACTTCCAGAGATACGCAACAGCATCAGGGAGAAAGCGCGAGCTGAATGGTATCGAGCCTTGGAGTTGATGTTGTATCAGAGGCTTGGGAATGGTACCGTCGGCCGCGAGACAATGATGGTAGATCAATGTCAGTGACGAGAGGTGGCGTAATGTGGGTTCCCAAAGAAGATGCTTGTGGTCATCACCAGTGATGATGGCCTCCAGCTTCGGTGAGAGAGCTTTGTAGACGAGATAACCTGAGGAAACAATGCTCGTGGTAGGGTCGTAGCTCATGTAGGCTGTGTTCTCTGGCATGGTGGAAACTTTTCGTATGATAGCCCAGTAGAGAAAGCTCACGCACGCCAATTCGTTGATCAATCTGGGGTTTTGCGGCAACAACTCGGACACGAGTTGAGTGAAACGTCCAAGGTGGAAGGCTGTACTGGCAGAGTTGCCGCCATAATTGAGGAAGGCATCCGAAATAGTTGAAGCTTCAATGGCGTAGCTCCACCCTTCCTCGTCTAGTTGTTGGTAAAACCCTTCGTAATTGATGAGTGCAGTAAGGACGTGCATGTAATTGATTGAAACGAGTTGCACCTGCCCCCGTTCTTCCACAGTCGCGCATTCCTTGAGGCGGTGAACATCGAGTTCGACGAAGAACGCAGTGAGCCTCGCAAATTGCTGATAAAGGGCAAATGGCTCACGTTTGATGGCCTTGATGCTCGAGTACAAGTGCCGCCGGTCGTGCCATGCTGAAGCTAATGTAGGAAGCGAATGCCAAAGGGCACTGTATCGCGTGTACCAGCCGGTGGCTGTAGAAACTGGGACATTTCTGATATGATCAAGAAACTCCCCAATCCACAGAGCGACATTTCGGCCAACTGCCTCATCTGTATTAATATTAGCAACCAAAATCTCAGTGGTGTGAGAGAACCGTTCAAGAATAATTACCTAGAAGAGGTGCTAGTTTCTCAACTGTATCGCGATAAGTCTCGTGGTCGTCGTGGAATGGGAAGTCGGGCAACATGTCCGTGACAGGCTCTTCCACGACAAGCTTCGCATCCACAGTAAAGGCCTCTTCAGTCTCCTTTTCCATTCCAACCTCAATCACAGGGCTACTGGCATCTGAGATTGGGGAGGGAAGAGCATCCTGGATGGCATCATCCCGGGTCATGTCGACCTCGGGCGCCTCCACGCTTGCTTGTATGTTATCGACCGACGGCAATGGTTCTCCGGAAGTCTGCACAGAGACCGAGGTAGGCGAAGAGGGAATGGTATCGAGAGGGCGAGAAGGGGTCCGCACGTTTATGGTGACTCGATTCGGACGTGATACGGAGGAAGGCTCGGGCTGTGTAGCTTTTGGCTCCGGAGTGGCAGAACGAGGAGCATTTGGCGGAGTAGGCGGCTCTGTCCCACTGCTGGTATCCATAGTATCGGGATCTGTCCTGGCTTCAGGTACCGTGTTGGCAGATGAGATGCCGGGAGAATCGTACGAGTGCCTCACGGACGAGGGCGAATCGACGGATCGGCTTCGAGATGGGCCGCTGCGAGAAGTACGCCTGCGCTTGGGTGAGGGCAGATCGGTATCCATGTAAGGATTTGAACCCTTTGTTGAGCTAGGCTCAGATGAGATGGCACGTTCTAGGGACTCATCGGCTGCCGGATCTTGGTCTTGAGCCATCTGTATTATGCAGAGGGGAGCTGCGGGTAGTGATGGTCGGCTCCGATTGCTGGGCTCCGGTCGAGGAACCTCGGCGGTGGCTTGCAAGTATCCTAGTCTTTAGCATGTATGGATGAACTTGAAGTCTCCTTGCTTGGAGATGGGAATGCAACGGGCCAGAGAAGCACGGATGGCTGCCGGAGCGGGCAGCACGAAGCTGAAGAGTGCAGCAACTTCAGGAAGGACGGCCTGGGGCTAGGGAACGCCGGCTGGGAAGTCAGTGAAGATGGATGACGGGTAGAAGTGGAAGTCGATAGCGGACTGCGGTGGAAATTGGCGTAAGGCTGCCTGTCAATGATGTTAAAACACCAATGTGCTTTCACTGCAAGAAGCTTTTTTTCGAGGCGGGGCGTGTGATGAAATGAAGAGGCTATGCAAAGCAAAGTATGTTACTTTGTTGTGTGTTGCCGAACCACTGGACGGGTGGTGGGCAAAGCGGGTGAGGGAGAGAGAGAGGACGGCCAGATTGGAAGACGCGACTCTTTGTTCAAGTTGTAGTACGTGCCGTGGCGCTTGTTGTGGTGCAAAGAAAGCCGAGGGGAAATGCCTGAATTCCGTCAGTTGCAAGCACGCTTCAGTTCCGTGCCCTGATTGCGCGTGGTTCGTTGATGTGACTAAACAGATGGCGGGTCAGTGTCTGTCGGGATCGATGTGGATAGATCTCGATAGATGAATCGATGTCAGATCCAAATTGAGAGGTCGAGTCGAGGTAGTTGTGGTAGGTGGGGGAGAAATGGAAGGCAGGTGGAAGCTGTGCTCGAGTGGAAGAAAAAGGTACTGGCGGGGGAGGGGAGCCAGGGGGTGTGGATAAACAGCATCGGGAGGGGTTCATTGATAATGACGGGAGCTACCTTGCAGGTGGGGGAGGCGGCTCCGGTGCTGCTACATACAGTGGAGGAGTGAATGGTAGGCACAGCCCGAGCCGGTGGGACTGCTTGTTCCACCCAAGTGCCCGACTTTGCACTTTGGGCTGAAAGTGCGGGTAGAGGTAGTGTACCTCTAGCAGGGAGGCAGGCAAGGTACCTGGGCTTAGGTACCCTAGGCAGGACTAGAGGTAAGATAGCCGGTTGCTTCGGTTGCCAAACAGGGGGTCTTTTGCAGGTGCAACCATGTGAATGTGTACTAGCTTCCATCCAATCACCAGTCAATGTCAAAGCAACCTCAAAGGCAAACTACAGGCCAGCTGGGCTGCTGTGCTTTTGCACTTGTCGCCCGATATTCATCAGGGGGATGCCCACACTCTTGATGTAGGTTGTCGGCCTATTGTGGGCAGCCTCGGAGAATCAAGATTGGCTGGGATTGTGATGGAGGGAGGCTTCAAGTTGTTGTTGACCACGCGCAACCTCAATCGAGGTTGAAGCGACAAGTGAAAACGGGACCCAAAGCAAGGATCGAACAAAGAAGGATACGTACCGGAAGGCGGTGATTTGGTGATGCCCGCCGTGAGTTCTGTGCGTAAGTTCCACGAGACTTCCTCGTCGACGGTGGTGGTGCCGACTTTGAAGCGTGTCACACACAAGACGGAAGAGGCGCGAGGTGGAGCAACAACTAAGTGAAGGGCGGACAAGTCGTTGACATCAACCAAAACTACCACTACAAGGAAGTAAGTGGGTGAAGAAGAGGTCGCGTTTGACGTCGTCTGGTAATACCTCGAGGTAGTAGCAGATATGACCGAGGTGTCAAGGTAGCAAGTGGAAAGTAGGTACACACCACGGGCAAGGATTAAGTCGCAATGAGCATCTAGTGTAGAGGCCAAGCGCAGTGCGGGTGTCTATGGACGGATGGAAAGATCGATACACTACCGTAGAGGTAGGCACCAATCTCGAGAGGGAAGAAGCGAGCTGTCAAAGTGGGAAGTCGGGATTTAGGAAAGAGTGTGCCAGGTGGTTCTGGCGGAGGCGCGTTTAGGCAGGCTTGGCAGGTGCCGGGGTACACCCGCCGTGACTCCACCTTGGTGGGGTATCTTTGAGCAAAATGGCGGGGTCCATATCATTACGCAGTATTTTCAGGGCGTCTTCTGAGTGACCGGACGCCCAGACATCGTTCTTCAAGGTAGGTAGGGTAGCTAGAAGTGTCTGAAGACAACAACTTGAACTAAAGTGAAGTCGGTACCTCCCGTCCCTCATCATCAACTTTCACTTTGTCACTTTGTTAGACCGGCTAGAACAAAAACATGTAGGGATACGTATGCAGCTAGTTAGCAACAGCAGCATTGGTAAGAACCAAATGTTTTCATGAGGCTTTATTGCTTCTACCTCTACGCAACTACAGTCGTGACCCCTGAAACTGCATGTAATTCAGACCTGAAAATCCTATGCACTAAATGGCATATATGCAGTATCTGGACGCGGGGTTAGGCCAAAATAGCTAATTCAGACCTGGAAATCCTATGCACTAACTAGCATATATGCAGTATGTGGAGGATGCAGTTTCAGGGGTCACGACTGTACGCCCTACGATGCACACGAGGCCGTAAGAGGCTGTAAAGTGCTGAATGACGTTGATACCTACGTAGACAATCACCCAGGGAGTGGAAATAGCCCTCACCTAGATACCCGTTGCCTACCTCTAATTGCTCTGCTTCAAATGACATTCGATTCCCTTCGCGCGCGTCAGGTCGATGTGCCCGAAGCCGCAGCAAGCTGTGCCGCTACACAGGTCTCCATGAAAAGTGATCCATGGGCCTTGGTTTCGAACGCATTTCCAAACTGACGATATATTGTTTCTCAACAAATTTTTCCAACATTGAGCCGAGTTGTTCAGGTTATGAGAGTCCAAGCTGCAGGGTTGAGGTGGTTGACAATTAATCATGGGTGTGTTTCTTGAAGGCCGCCAGATGCATCTCGCAAACCTTGAACCCTGTGTTTTCCGCAGACCTGGCTTCTGGGTAACTCGAGTCTTTGCGGTACGGAAAAAGATCTGAAGATATCTCTACTGTGCAGTTAGTTTCCCCATTGCCTTAACCTATAATCTTGAAGCCCTGACCTGCCATGCTTTGCACCGTACGCCTTTCTGGTTGATGTTGGTATCCCTCCGTAATCAGAACCAAGTGACAGGACGTCACCCAGGCCCCAAGAAAACATGTGCCCTGTCCCTGGCTCATGAACCGCCGCGGACATGCTCCCACGGTGCCCAGGAAGAGTGGTGGTGGTAGTGGTGGAGACGAATGGATCGTGGATCTTAGACACACATGTATGTACGATTCATGCCCCTGTCTCAGCTAAAGTACCTACCTTGAGCTTCCGCGCCAAAGCCGAGCGGCTCATCAGACTTGCACCCGCGCTATCTGCCAGACAGACACCGCACATTTGTGAGAAACAGGTGGCGTAGTGCAGAAGATGTACCGTAGCATACTTACTTGACCACCCGACCCAAATGTGTCCACTTTGGATGATCACGGTGCGGAACTCTAAAAACCGACGGGACCTGCGGGACGACGGGACGGGACAGCGCCGACTAACTTTCCACCAGCCCTACGGATAACGTCAGGTTACCCACTTGGCGGTAATCTTACATATTTACAAATTACGCGCGCTTACCGTTACGTTTCTCTAGCACGATTCGGTACATACCGAAAAATACGACAAAAAGATTTCACTGATTACTACTGAAGCAACATAGCACTCACTACCAGGCTCGATATCTGCTTTCACAACACATCTTCTTGGTTACCTCTATCGAAGGCGCCTTCGTTTTCAAAACTATAAGTCACAGTTTCCTTGCCTTCGCCCAAATCCCCAATCGCACAGCTAGGTAGTTTGCCTTGCCTGCGAGACCACAATGGACCGAAAAAAAATTGTCCACCGTTTGGACACTCCCTTTTCCGCTGTGCAATGGTAGGTTCCTATCTCATACGCACATTCACTGAATTTCACGTATGAAAATTTGCTTACTCGTATGTTTTGCCTAGGCCACAAATCAGCCAAGAGGATCAGGACGCCATCCTTGAACTCCTTTGTCAGTAAGTCAACCAGAGCTTCGCCTAATGCTCCTCTGTCTACCAAGGCACTGCAGCGATGATCATTTTCTAACAATCACGATTCAGTCTCCTGTCTCCTTTAGGCCAATACCGAAAAGCCTTCGTAACCCCATCCAAGGGGAAGCGGAAGCGGAAGCTGGTCGAACAACAAGGAGATGCCCAAACTTCTTTGGTGCCTCCCGCGCCAGCAATAGCTGCCTATGTTGATGTGGGTCTTTCCACTATTTCACGAAACTTGCAAGATCTGTCAGCTGTCGCTGTCGGTGAGAAGGCGGAGGAAGCCAAAGGTGGCGAGCATGACAGGAAAGTGTCAAGTGGCAGCAAGAAGGCTCCATACAGCGTCATTTTTGTGGCGCGCTCAGGCCAGTCCTCAGCGTTCAATTGCCATTTCCCCCAAATGGTCGCAGTGGCCTCCAAGTCTCAGTCACCGGAGCAGAAGATGAGGCTGGTTGGATTTTCCAAATCCTGCGAGGAAAGGCTAGCAACAGCTCTCGGTATTCCGAGAGTGTCGAGCATTGCTTTGAGAGCAGATGCACCGCAAGGGAATGGCCTTGTAGACTTTGTGAGGAAACATGTGGCTCCCATTGAGATAGCCTGGCTTCAGGAGGCTGATTCAGGAAAGTTCTTGGAGACGAACATTGAGGCGGTTCCAACAAAAATTGGAAGCAAGAAGACGAAGAGCTCCTAGTGGTGGGAGGCAAGACAAATAACCAGAAGTCTGTTGAAGTCCGACCGGCATGGCTTTCGGGAGACATTTCTCTGGATATGTTGCTGGTTCGGCTCACTCTTACTGTGCTCTGCCTGGATTTCGCGGTAGAAATCCGCATACCGCTTAGACGACTCGAGAACGGTCAGGCAGCTTCGATACACCAGGCTCACCAATAAAATATGGAGTGTTTGCTCATTTGAGGCTCGAGAGAGTTGAGAGTGAATCACCAGAGCGGATGGAAAATGAGCCAGGCCTCCAGTCCTTGGCCGATACTCTGCCCACGAAAGACCATAAATGCCCACCCAACCGCTAGTTTCAAGGCCTAATTCTTTTTTCCCCTTCTGCTTTGAAAACGATATCTTTTGAAGCCTGTGTCATATGTCATGTATCTATCGATACAGCTTGTATGATGTTTGCTTACAGCCTGTTTCGAGACACACCTGAAAAAGATATAAGGGCCCCCCGATGACGAGCCGACCTTGGGTTCTAGGAAGGAACACCCTTCTGATAATGGGAGGCACAATCACTCTCTCGTACGCGCCTTCCCGTCTGTGACGCTGAGCAGGAACACGCGAACCCTAAGACGGCACACCAAAACTTGAAACACCCGCTGATAACGTTCACCTCTCGAGTTTCTTCTACTCGTCAACATCTTCCATTACACATCTGATATTTCCCCTAGAAGGTCATCACCACCAGCAGCAATTCAAAACTTCTCTTCCTCATTCCGGGTAGCTTGCTACAATACTGCTAATAATATCCCCATCACCCCGCTCACCTCGATAACAACTATCGCTTTGTGGACACTCTCTCACCACACGTCGCGTCATAACCAAGTAGCAACCATGACTCCGGACCAGGAGCTAGCGGAGCAACTGGCAGAAGCGCGCGCCTTTCAAGCAGAAGCTACGAAAGGTGGCAACCGTCAGAAGAGTCGCCGCTCAGCCCGCAACAGAGGCAGAGGCGGTCGCGATCATGGAGATTCTCCCTCCACCTCTCCTATCACCCATTCTTCTCGTGGAGGTCGAAGTGGGAGAAGCCGCGGAGGCTCTCTTCTCCAGCCCGCGGCCTTCGAGCAAGAACAGAGCGAGAGTCATCTCCCTGCCACGCCCTCTCACACTCCTCAGACCACCAAACCTCGCCCATTTGCCACTCCGATTGTGGCACCCCCTTCCGCCAACAGCGGATTAACTCCGTCTGCAACCCCATCCGGTATCGGTGGCTCTTTTTTTGCCCCGCAAGGTATGTCATCAATTAAACTTTTAGACCTATTATGTATATCCCTAAGCATTCGTTATAGCCGCCCCTAAAGCCACCGCTTCCAAAGTTCAAGCTCGTGCGACAAGGGGAAGACGTTTTGGGGTGAGCAGATTTGCATCTCGAGAGGAACAGGATGCCGTGTTTGCATTCTTCAATGACGATACCCCAGCCCCAGTTGGCGAGGTTAGGTATTACCAGGAAGAATACGAGAAGGGAACAAGTGAGGTACCGAAGCCGAACTCATTCAGCTTGCAAGAGAATTACCCACAGCAGCCCAAAGAGACCTCAAGTGCGGCTACTAGTCACCTTCAGGACGAGCCCAGCACTGTCAACCTAGAGGCCAAGAACGAGACCAACCCCAAGGCGAAAGCGAAGGCCCAAATCAAGGCTAGTGATGAAGTCAACGTTGAGGTCTCGGACAAAGTGGCTCTAGTCGACTCCCAGAATGTCAATGTCCAAGAGCTCGAGCATGCTGCGCTCCTTCGTGAGCGTGAAGAGCAGGAGCGAAAGCAGCAGCTCCTTCGCGAGATCGAAGAGGGAGAGGCGACTCTCGCAGAAATGACGAAGCTGATTGCCATGATGAAGGCCAAAGCCGCAAAGCTTCATGTCAATTCTGCTAGCGGGGATCTTATAGGAGTCTTACAGCAAGTCACCAATACCGGTCCCAGCGCGAATAGTCCTCATCAAGGCGCTTCTGCGGCAGTAATCATCACGCCGTCCACAGCAAAACACAGGGACGCTTTCAACAGCCAGACCTCAGTCCCGCGGAATACTGGAGGTAAGTAAACCCAATCTTTTTGAGGGTCTAATGTATTGCCGTACTAACGCGGACCAACTGTTCACAGGTGCCGTGCCTAACACTACGTCCAACTCTATGGGTGACTTGATGAACCTCGATTCTGAGCGAGTCACCATGCGATACGTTCCGCATCCCACCCAGATTGAACCCTTAGGTTTCAACGGCGGTCATTCCTCTTTCCAGAATGGTTTCCAGGAGGCTGAAGATGAGGAGGAGCTTTAGGATCCACTTTGATCCGGTTCCCTCACTGAAATGTGTTGGCTTGTTTCAAGTATTGTGCATATTTGCGAGATCGCCCTCCTTAACGACAACGACGTTTCTGTTCACATCAACTTCGAGAAATGAACATATCCCGCAACCAGTTACTCTGCCATCGGAAATACCACACCAAACAAAGCGAGGATTTTAACTACACATACAAACCCGTCCAGTCTTTCTTTTGTGGAGTTACTGCATATTGCGCATCCGGTATCTGGCGGCATCTCAAGACTCATGAAGCTCTCATACCAGTTCACTTATCAATCTCACGAGCATGGGAAGGAAAACATCATGTGAACAACAAGCAAGCTGAGATCCCACCTTTGAGCTCGAACATGCAGTCCCCTTGAGCTGTGGGAAGGCTCAAGAGGATCATAGGAGTACGCGCGCGAGGTGCTCCCGCTCGGGGGCAAGACGATGGCTTCACAGGGATGATCGAGGCGGACGACGGACGCGGCAGCAATGATATCGACAATGATCATAGCAATTGCCACCAGAAGGACATCAAGACGGGCACGACAGGATCAATTGGCAGTGCCGAGCACCTTCCCACGCTGGCGTTTGCTAAAGAGAAACCATCGCTGTTAGATTGTGTTTGATTAGCATATGGATTCATAGCGTATGAGCGCCCAAAGGAAAGAGAGCGGAGGAAGCATGACGATGTCAAGAAAACATCCAGAACCTAGGGGGAGGATGAAATCTTGGCAGATGGAAAAGGATTTTCATGTCATCTTGCTTGTTTCGCAACTTAGCAGCTCCCAGTTACGATCATATTACCCTTTGTTGGTAGCAGATCTTGAAGTATGGGACGCGACAGTGGCTCTGGAACTGTTTATCCGTGTTTGGTAATTGTAGCGAGAATAGTTAAACCCAAGAGAACATGCAAACTAAGAAGAAAAAAACTAGAAACAGAAATTGACGAGCGGTTTCTTATGTATTGTGCGGGCGCCAATACTTCCTAATGTACGCAACAACGCTCTAGGAATAGACAATGCTGTTTCATCCGGAATATCAGATCACTCACAGACGGAGATTATCATGACCGCTGATCATCACCAAATGAGAAGCCACGAATTTTCCTTTTCAAGACGCTCTAGAGCGTGCCGAGAGCGTGGTTGAAGGAAGATAATCTCCCAATATCCACCTCCAATCAAAATCCCACTCCGATGTAAACAAACCTCTTAGGTTCTATGAAGGTACCTCTAGTCATTAATCCTCATTAGCAGCCTTCCACTCCCCAATACTCACTACCCCATCACTCGAAATTTCAACATGCACTCCGCCGCCACCACCACCACCACCACCACCACCACCACCACCATCATCATCACTCCCCTCAGTTACATGACCCTGACCACCACCACCAATTTGTTCAACAACCAACCACAATCCTCCATACACCCTGATCACATCCGGATCCAAATCCACCTCTCTCGTTCTTAAACCTAGACTAGCATCCGCAAACTCCCCCTTGGCGCTGTATCCATCCCCTTCAGTGGTACCCTGCCCGCCATGTATATGTCCAGCTCCAATTCCTCCGATCCCTCCGAGCCTCTCCGAAAGACTGAGATTACTTAGACTAGCCGCCAACTCGCCCCCGCCTCCCGAAGCCGTGCTGGCTAATACTCGTTTTCGTCCTTCGATAGTACCTAGTTCAAGGGCTACTCTCACCATGGCCGTCTTTTGCGTAGTAGATCCCGTCTTGACGGATCGCGCTAATACGCTGGCACGGGTGAGTCTGGCGACGTCGACGCGGGCGCGAACTCTTCCCTCGCCTTGGCGGAAGGTGGCAGGCGAGGGAGCGGGCGTGCGTAAACGCCCTGCTGCGTCCGATAGGATCGGCTCGATAGTGAATGGGCAAGCGGCGCTGACGCGGAGGGAGTACCGGCCTGTTTGCCCGGGCTCGTAGGTGGAGAGGACTATGGTGTAGGTACCCGGGTCGATGAGGGAGGAGGTGTGTCCGTGGTTGTTGGATGCCACGGAGGCGTTGGAGGTGTTGGAAGAAGGCAGCGTAGAAGCAAACGTGCACCCCCTTTGATACTCGGCGCTCGAACAAATGAGATCCCGCCCCACGACGGCCGTGACGCGTTGTCCGCCGTTGGAGTAGAGGACCGCAATGTGCACAGGGAGGTTGTCAGCCCTCTCGGTGCTGAGGACCAGAGACAAGGGAGAAGGGCGGGTGAGCGTGAGGGCGTATTGCGGGTTGGTGACGTAGGATGGGTAGACCGTTGAGCCGCCGGCTGTGCGGCGGGTCCAGGCCCCCGTGATGGTTTCGTTATAGGGAAGCGGGTCGGAGGCCGGGGAGATGGTTAAGGGCGAGTTAGAGAAGAAGGAGAGGGTGAAGGAGTAGGAAGGGAGCGGGAGGTCGGATTGAGCAATAACGAGGGTTTGGGCAACGCCGGGCGTGGGAGAGTAGCGGAGGAGCGTGTTGGGGCTGTCGACGTAGGGACCTTGGTGCAGGGCGTGGTGGGAGCCTTCGGAGAGGGGGATGCGCGTACCGGGCGGGTGGGAGGCAAAGAGGGAGAGGGACATGTAGCCAAGGGATTTTAGGGGCTGGTGGAAGTCGTGTTCTTGCTTGCGTTCGCGGAGGATGTCGAGTTCGGAGTCTTGCCAGTGCCGGTTGAGGAGGACCCAGACTGGGCTACCGGTGTGGGAGAGAATGCTGTATTGTGGGTTTTGGGTGAAGACCAGCTCTTCGGCTTTTGGAGGGATTGTCCATGTAAAGTGGTGGTCTTGACGGAACCGGAAGAGGGAAGGACTCCAGTTGACGTAGAGTGAGTCGAAGTGTTGGAGGACATCCTCAAAGGTCATCCAGAAGGTGTTGGACATGCTCTCTTCTGAGGATCCGCTCCTGTCGGTGCTCGAGGTGGCAGTTGATCCTACACCCGTCCATACCAAGCTGTCCCGCCATGGGTTCTTCACTAGAAAGAGTCGGTTGTTTCCGTCGTTCCGAAGGTCAAGTACTGCGTAGTCGTGCTCTCTAACCAGGCCAAGGGTTCGCTCTTCCTCACGGGAGAGTTTGCCGGTACCGAGTGTCACTAGCGCGTTGCCTTGTTCGTACGCTGTCTTGATACGGCTCCATGTCTCATTCAGCTCGATGTCATCGCTGTCAATTTCACTTAGCATCTTAACGGCTATGGACGCAACGAAAGGGAGTGTTTCTCACGTTTGAAGAAATATTTGCTCTGGAATCCAACCGGTAAGAGCGTGTAAGTCCGTGCCAGAGTTGCTGCCAGGAAAGTCATAGCCGCCTCGAATCTTCAAGTAGGCTTTCTCGATCAATGCCGGCCAGATCAGATATGGATTGCGTCGGTCCACTACATAAAGCGTGCGCTCGGAGGAAGAGGTCGGAAGACGGTCGTCTATGAGCACCTTGCGCCAACAGCCATTGAAGTACATGCGGAAGATGTACTTGCCATTTTGTGATACGGCTGGTCGCTTGACGTCGTCGTCATAAGGATACATGAGAGAGGAAAGCAACTGGTCTGTGTTAGTGAGACTGCATATGTGTCACAGAAAGGCGGTCCTGTGTTCTTACCGAGCCTGTCCTTGGGCCGAATTGCCGGACAGCAGCACACAAGCTTGCTACGACCGAGCAATCGGTTGCCAAATCCTGACCGAGATCAATGCTTTCCGTCGCAGTCATGAAGACGTCTGCCTCCCGTTCCGGCACATCCATGAAAATCTCATGTGGCCTCTTCCAGCCGGCAAATATGTCTTGCTGCTCAGGGGAGAGAGTAAAGGGTGAATGGTCCCTGTGGAACAGTGAGACAAGGCCATTTCATATCCCATAATTTGTCATAACATACGTATAGCACCCATCGGCTGCCTTTGAGGCGGCAAACTCATCCGAAGCTGGTGTCTTCTCCCACGGTGGAAAGATATTGCCATGCAACTTGGACGATTTTAGGAGAAGAGTTTTCTCGGCAATGGTCAGCGTCCGCGTCGATTCGGGCACTGGCGAGCGGGCAGAAGTAGCGGCGGATTTTGCATTGGCTTTGAGTCGTTCGCCAAGGGCTATGAGGTCGCTACATTTTCGCTGTAGGCGGTTGCGGTCTTTGGGGTTGGCGGCTTTTTCGGCTGCGCGCATGTAAATCTCGGCGGCCGCAATGGCATGTTTGAGTGCTTCTTGGCCATGGGATTCGGCGAGACGACGCTCGTGTTCCTTGCCAAAGTTAGATGTAAAGCTCATGTAGAGACATGATCTAGAGGGTGTTGGGCATTACCAGAGCTCTAGCCTCCATCGTGACACTTGTGGAAGGATAATGGTGTAAGACTTGTATGCATAATTTGGGATGCCCAGTCCTCGAGTCCTCTCCTGGGACCGCAGTTGGGCGGACTATTGCGGAATATGGGTTCGAAGTATATATAAAGGCAATGTTAAGGACGAATGCCGACTGGGATCCAGATGACAGCAAATGTGGAGGGATAGATGACACGGATCAAATGAGTAGCGTAGACTAGTCAGACTAGTGTTCTAATTCTCTTCGAATCAAGGACAGGATCAAAGACGACGAATAAAGAGGCTCGATTGCTCAATAACGTACTATATTTTGCGAAAAGGAACGGGACCCCAGACAACGACCTCGTGTATTGAGCTTCCACTTGCTGAAACTGGGGACGCCGCCTTGATGTGATTCTTGGCTGCAGCGAATGTCCATCCGTCTTTGGCATCGACTCCAGCACACCGGATGTTGAGCTCTTGGCCGTGGAAGCCGAACATGTAAACGGCCCGTTCTTCTGTGCACTTGGATTCCCAAATGGGGCACCGACGGGTCGTCCTGCAGGAGGTATCCCCGGCCCTGAGGTTTGCGGAACCCGAGCCAGCTCAGGGCGGTGCAACATTCCGCGGTGGTGCCAACAGTGTCGGTGGAGATTCCGGCAAAGTCGATTCCTCGTCTCGGATAATCCGACTGTGCTTGATTCCAAACTGCCTTTCAGTGTGGGGCCAAACCGATAGGAAACTGACAGCCCAGCTCTAGCCAAAGACCCCGAGCTTGGCATTGACTTTGCGCGCCAGCAACCGTCACCGAGTCTCATCATCTACAACGACAAAAAGTGTTCAAACCCACCTACAGTATTTCGAAGCGCTCAATTCCGTCACATTCACAAGCGGGGTGCCTCTAAACGGCTACTCCTGAGTCTCCACGACTAACCCTAACCTTAACTACTGATCTGGGTTGCTGGACGCGAGTTAGGCCTTGACTCCACACAGGCCGTTTGGAATCGCGCACAAGTCGGAGCTTTCACGTCGGAGTGAATGCCGTTGTGCTGCAGGACGGACGGCGTGGCGGGTGAGACAGGGGAAGCCCTACCGGCCTATCTGGGAAACGAGATCCCTACCTTTTCTATCACTGGAACCTTGGCGTGCAGAGGTTGGCCATATCAAGTTAGAGACGGGGTTGGTCGAAGTGGAAGTGACCAAGTCGGGGGCTGGGAGGGTGATGAAAAAGAGTTGACACTTGCTTGGGTCTTTCTTGGATGACAAAAGCAGATATGGCGGACGAGTCAGTTTGAAACCCCCCCAAGGTCATTTCGAAGAGTTTGGAACTGGGAAGTGGAATGGAAAAAGCCCAATATCTCAACCTACTACAGCTATTGTTTCTCAACTTTACAATTCCCCTTTTCCGAGAAGTATCAAGGTAATGCACTGAAGTCAACGCAGTCAACAGCACCGACGGTACCCCGCATCGGCCGATAAGGTACAAACTGACATCAAAAACCGGACAGCGATGCAAGAGCCCCGCCACGGGCAGTGACGGGATGAGGGGATCTGCTGTTCCTGCGCCCTGGACCTGGAGCCTCCCGTCGCATCATGCCATGAGGCCATGGTGGGGCATTGCGGCCTTTAGTTCTAGTGCCTTTAGCGGCCTCGGCATGCGTTCCTGGGCCAACAAAGTTCTCTTCAACCTGATCGCCGGGTGCTCCTTCAATTGCCCGGTTGGCGGTGCCGAGAGAGCCTCCACTGTGACAGGCATATGTTTTCAGCTGGGACGTGGGGGGCTTCGGGTTTCCTGATCGCCGACCTAGGGATCGGGCCACCGCCAAGGGAAGCCAGAGATGCAACTGCATCACGAAAGGATACAGATAGGTACAGGACCATAGCTTGGATGACGAAACGGTGAGAACGGTGAACAACACAACTTGATCGTTGGTTGGTCTTATGCCTAGGTGTCTTGGGAGCTTGGCTACTCAGCCACCCGGGGACGCCGTTGTGTGTCAAAAGACTTGGTTGAAGATCACGACGGATACAAGCACCATAGTAATGCTATTTTCACAGCCGTGTGCCAATGGCTATATCAAGAATCATGTTGCTGGTTGCGGCATGATCGTCATTCGGATGTCTTGCAGCAAAACGTTAACCAATAACCATCCTATGCGCAAGTCCTTCTTTATCAGCACCTCCGGGCTCGCCGAACACGATCCTCGGATGTGTTGCCAGAGAGCGGGCGGGAAGAACCGCTTGAACGATGTGTCATGGCAGCGGAGAACGGTCTCGCAGGATTATAACCAGTCTTCGCTTCCAACTCTCCAAGCCATGGCCACAACACCTCTAACAACTTAGAGTCTAGTTGAGGAACAAAAGCCGACAAACCTGACGCCCCATCAAATGCATCTTTGGTCTTTCATTGATTCAACTCCTTGTATCATCTTTGAAGAACAACGCCCACCGAAATCCCTGGTTTGAGTTTATGTTCCAAAACTTCTTCCTCAGCTGACAACTCGTTTCAGCACTTGTGGGGATCCCCTTAGATCGGAGTCAAAGGATGGTTTGCCCATCAAGCCTCCTGTCGGAATTTGATGACAACTTTCGACCAGATTTTGCCAGACTTATGTAGTGCTTGGCGAAAAGCAGTTCCTCCCTCAAAAGCATGTCGAGTATAAAAGCTTGGAGGCTGGTTGTCGCTGGTTGACTGGATTATCGTGCTATGTACGAGGTCACAGATGGAGACGGTCGCAATGATGCCTCGGTACTGCATCATCGAGTTTGGCTTTGCTCTGGAGAACTGAGTTGCTTAATCCGAAGAGCCCGGAGAGAGCGAAATGGAATTCGGTCGCTGACGTCGCATATAAATTCCCATTGGCCCCCTTACATGGTGGAATATGTTGTCGAATGGGAAGTCGTGGCGTCCTGCCGCCTTATCTGATCTGATAACTGAAAAAAAAAGACAGGAAGATGGAAGCAAGACGCAATGACTTGAAAAGCTGGGGATCCGGGGAATCTTTATCGACGCAATCGTGGGGACGGGAACGCAACCTAACCTGGAACCCCAAAAGCCGCAAAACCCGATCCGATTGGGGCATCAAGGCCCCTGTGTGGCCCTGCCTGGGAGATGCCGCGGCCTTCTGCAAAGTAACGAAACAGCAGACACTGCCGTAACTTTATTGGGGAATTGGAGGTGTGCCGAGGTTGTCGGTGGTTATCCGGTTATCGTCCATCACGGGTAGGTTACTTTGGCTTCTTTTTTTTTGCTGGGGAGGGGGAAGACCTTTGAAAAGTTCCTGGGTGATTGCTTTCCATTCCACTTTCCCACGTACATACTGGCCTGGATTCCACTTCCCTTGTGAGGTTGCCCCGTCGAGACCGCCAAAAAGTCAGAGTCCCACCGCCGGCCTCGGTACATGTCATTTGGACGGTCTGAAATAACCTAAAATCGTTGTAAAGGAACCACCTGGGCGCCGCCCCCCCTTCTTGCGCCCGTCGGTCCGTACTTGTCGTCACCGATTTCCTTCCCTGTGTCGTGTGTGTTCATTGTTATCATTCGGTCGCATATCCTTTCCTATCTTGCCTTTCACTTTTGAGATTGTAAACCCCCCATCTTTGGTTCTTATTCGCATCTGCCTCTTATCATTTTATTTTCCGTTGTCGCGATACCTATCTACCAAATTATACACTGGTCCTGCCGTCCTACACGACATTGACATAAGCGGGGATCTCGAGCCAGCGATTGCGCCAACCAACACCAAGCGACCCTTTCCGTCTGAACCACTACTTCGAACTCCCGCCCCGAGCGTCCAGAGTATTTCTAGATATCAAAGTAACAATCAACAATGGCAGCACACTCAAAGCCCGCCCAATTGGGCCCCTGGGGGAAGGCCACGGCCGGCGCTGCTGGTGCCGCTTTCGCCAACGTGCTTGTATACCCACTTGATCTGTGTGTACACCCCTCTTCTTTGCGCTCTTTCTAGCAGTCACTGACTTTGTGAGAACTGCAGCATCAAGACAAAACTCCAAGTCCAAGTCAAGAAGTCCGCCGACGTTGAAAAGCAAGAGGCTACGGCCAGCAATGAGGTTCACTACAAGGGAACATGGGACGCCCTCACCAAGATCAAGAATGCCGAGGGCATTGCGGGTCTTTATGCTGGCATGAACGGTGCGCTACTGGGTGTCACGTCGAGCAACTTCGCCTACTTCTACTGGTATTCGATCGTCCGCACGCTGTATCTCCAGTACCAAAAATCGGATGCACACCCCTCGACGGCCGCTGAGTTGTCCCTTGGCGCCGTTGCCGGTGCGCTCGGCCAGCTTTTCACCATCCCAGTCGCGGTCATCACCACCCGCCAGCAGACGCAAAACAAGGAGGACAGGAAGGGCATCATCGATACCGCTCGGGAGGTTGTCGAGGGCGAGGATGGCATTACCGGACTCTGGAGAGGCTTGAAGGCTAGCTTGGTTCTGGTTGTCAACCCGGCCATCACATATGGCGCGTACGAGAGGCTGAAGGATATTCTTTTCCCTGGAAAGAACACCTTAAAGCCCTGGGAGGCTTTCCGTAAGTTTGAGTCCTGGAAGATTATGCGATATGCTTGGCTAACAATTGCTCCGTAGTTCTTGGCGCATTGTCCAAGTCGATTGCCACCATCGTCACCCAGCCCCTCATTGTCGCCAAAGTAGGCCTGCAATCCAAGCCTCCCGCGGCTCGCAACGGCAAGCCTTTCAAGAGCTTCGTCGAGGTGATGGAGTTCATTGTCAAGAACGAGGGCGCGTTGAGTTTGTTCAAGGGTATCGGGCCCCAGCTTCTTAAGGGCTTTTTAGTACAAGGTATCTTGATGATGACCAAGGAGCGGTACGTTACGAAAAATCGTCCACGATATTCATCACAGCGAAATACTGACATGTTGCATCATAGTGTCGAGCTCATGTTCATCCTCTTCATGCGCTTCCTTTCGAAGCTTCGGTCGCAGCAGCTCGGCAAGGCCGCTGCTTTGGCTGCCGCGGCAAAGGTTGCGTCCCCCGTCATCGCCAAGTAGACGCTCCCTTCCATTTCTTGAACAACGAAAGCACATATCATGACTTGAACGTTCCGCTTGTACTGTATTTTTGCTGCATTTGATGGCGGTCGTGTTTGGAGAATCATACTCACAATTCGGTAATCTTCTGCTACTTGGGTTTCATGTTTCAGCCGGACCTGGTTATATAGAGCGAATAGATATCCCTTGGATACAAGACCTTTATGAGTTCAGCCTTGATCATTGCCGACAGTCATTATAATTTTGTTGTTAGGAGCAAAGTTGAAGCTGAGAGCCGCCTCGGAGTTGTCGCGCCAAGAGGAACCATCCAATGTCTCCACCCAGCTCCAGGTTGCTGCGAAGTTGCAGTGAGTGATAACCAAGTGTGGCGCAACCAAGCTTTAGCCACGCACAAGCCACTCCCACCAAATTAGGGCAGTGGAAATTCTCCCACATTTGGCGCAGGAATTAAACTCGCTTGTCTGACCTTGCAACCCCAGCAGCCTCCGAACATCGTCTGTTTGTTTGACGCCGGAAATCAGTCGCAATGGCCAGTATGTTGTGCCTCTGCCGTCAGAATATCGTCGTGTCGAAATAATGGAATACTGATCGTTTTCAACAGAGTCCAAGAACTCGTCTCAGCACAACCAGTCGCGGAAGGCTCACCGCAACGGGTACGACCGCCCCAGCATCACCACTTGAAAACCAAAGAAGAGAAGATGATAATGGATCCCCGAATGAGCCAGAAGTGCTGACGAATTTATTTTCACGAAAACAGTATCAAGAAGCCCAAGACTTCCAGATACCCTTCCCTCAAGGGCACTGACCCCAAGTTCCGCCGCAACCATCGTCATGCTCTCCACGGCACCGCCAAGGCTCTGGTACGCCTCGATCCCGATTCGCAACAAAACCACGAAAGAGCGCTTTTCGCTAACAACTTTACAGAAGGAGTTCAAGGAGGGCAAGCGCGAGACTGCTTAGATTTCCTCTACCCAACATCTGTCGGGAGGCGTCAAATGAAATACCATTCTGAATGACGAAACATTCATTCGGGACAGACAACAAGATGACCCATTTTCCGGCGTTGACGGTGAAATTGTGATGTTCAAAGGCTGCGATTTCTTGTCCTGGTATTCAGTCACAACAGGATTTACCCTCCCCACCACCCTCGATTGGGCGCGCACACAGCAAACAGTAAACCCCGATTCGCGACCGATGGACGCACGAAATTGGATATCCCTTCAGCCAGCATCACCCCGTACCATGCCCGAGCAACTCAGGACCGACCGCATAACTTTGTCCCTGCCCTTCCTGACAGATTCCCCGCTTCTGAATCCCCTTTCCTATGGGGACTGAACGGCATCAGTGTGTACAACAATGGGCTCATATACCTACGCTCATGTGTTGAAGGATTTAATCGTGCCAAGAAGAACACTTTGCCGTACTACTCGTACACTTTGATTCTCTATACTCTAAGGACCCTCGTGCATGGAAGGACGGCGACAACCCATCGTTTCGCGACCCTGTCCTCTCCCCTTGCCTTTTGTGGATTCCCTGCTTTCATGGAGTTATGGTTTCAATGGTTTGCCCCGTGCCTTGATGATTCATTGCGATGCTTCCCCGGATCGTTAAATGCTTTGCATGCCTGCACTCACCAAGGCAGTGCCTTAGTCTAAGAAACGCGAAATACAAGAAAGTTTTGATACTCTTTTTTTTTCATCCCAATGCGGTAGTGACTGCATGATAGTGATCATGTCAATCTCTCGGCGCATGTGGAAAACATTGAATTGGTGACAGAAGTTTCTAAATCACCTGTTTTCCTGTGTACACAAATGTCGATCTACAACAAACTCGCACGTCATATCAGGCTACGGGCCTAGCTCAGCACAGCAGCATCAAAGATGGAATGTTAGCGATCTGACGTTATGGCAGCTGATCAGGTACATTATCGTCACCAATGAGCAGGCGTCACCCTGGTCTCGAACAGTCCGCAGCCTCACACGATCACGATTTGGCTTTTTTTTCACAACATCAACACGCTACCTTTTCGAACCGCTTGGCACCGTCTGAGTAGGGGACCGGAAACCCATATTCGCCCATTCCAGTGCGGGGGCTCTTTGTGGGCTTCCGGAAACTCTCCCATGGCCGCTAGGACGGAGTACCAGGGGCATGTGATGATGTTCAGGATCGGCTTGGCGGACACTGCTCGAAAAGAAACCCTTCCACCTCTACCGGCCGGGCGAAAAATACGCAAGGGAACGCCCAGGGTCCTAAACTATGCATTTTTGTTTCCTCTGGATAATTTGAACAATAACCGCGTCAAGTCTCCAGAAACACGAGTGAGGCGCCGGTGATTGCGCTAACCATTCTATAACAACCCTAACCCATTCCCAGGTACAGTACGTACGTAACGACCAAGTAAACAAAGAAAAGGGGTGAGCCCCACACATTTGCACTCTTCTACTTTCGAGGAACCGGCTGCTTGCCAAAGTCATTCTCAGTGAAGCTTTTGTTTC